AAAATGCAAAACATCGGTTTTTGGCTGTAAATGGCCAATTCTGCAACGTGTTTGAATTTCTGAATATAATTGAGGTATTTGTGGACCAATCCTCGCTAGGAATAAGCTCTATGCATCAAAAGGTGAACGTCCAAAAAAAATTCGAAGTGGTCTGCTAGCCTATACCTCTCAAAGTGCTCACTATGCTGTTATTGATATTTGACTAAGTTAGTGTTTCACTACTTGCAAACTCCAAATGAGCACTCCCTGCACTTTGAGAGGTATAGGCTAGCTGACCACCTCGGATTTTTTTGGAGGCCTACATTTCATTGCAAAGAGCTTAAGTCTAATGGGGATTGGTCCACAAATGCCCCAATTAAATTCAGAAACCCGAACACGCTGCAAAATTGGTCATTTACGGCCAAAAACTGACATTTTGCATACATAATGTACCACACAGACTCTTTCTGACATAGTGAATGACCTTGAAACATTAAATATGATGTAATCTAACCCAATACCACACCACACCATGATCACACTGCATTTGAGAAAGATCTGGACCATATACACCCCCAATACCACATGTGCACCTGTTCCCCCAGTGAAAACATAGTTTTCTTTGCGTCGATGTCTACCAGCTATAATTCAGGTGCCTCTTTAGCATTTATATGCATTTAAACTAAATTACCACGACAAGAACGGTACCAAAAACGCGTAAATTGGTGTTTCTGTGATTATACTGTGGCCCAATATGCTGTTTTACCCCCTCAGCGCCCCATAATTGGTTTAGGAGCATTTTGACTGATTTTGCACCGTAGATCGTCTTCTCAAGGGTCAAACTACATTGTCCAATCATAATCACAACATCACCAACCATTCTAACTGCTGCAGTACCCCTCGGGTAAGACATTCTCCTCCTCCCCCCTTGACGCGGCACCACTATCAAGGCCATGGTCACGGTTTTTGTGTCAGGTGTGGCTTTCATAATTAAGTAGTGATGTATGTCTACCTATGACAGCAGAAACCAAGTCAATTGAACCTTTATATCACTGGTTCTGGCCTACCGAACCCCTCCAGCCTCGGTATGGCAATATTGTCCTGACCGCTTACACTATAACTTTAGAACAAATAAACCGATTCCTTTGAGAATTGATTCCTATCATCCTGTATATTTCTAAATATTTGTCAAATAGACAGAACTCCCAAAATTGGCCTCCTTCATCTCGCTAAATCGTGTTGCCAATTT